GAGGTATCAAACATAAATCCTTGCCCCAAAGTCAGAGGACATAAGTGACAGGTTGATGTAGCCACACCACTAAACTTGATGGAAATGTAGCTTTTGCTACATTTATCATATAAATAATTCATAAAGTAAAGCATATAATCACTTCGCAGAGGCCACACATTCTTATATATTTTAAAAAATATCCAAATGTAAAAGGCTGTTTGAAAGCTTCCATAACTATTTTGCTAGGAAAAATACAGTACATTCAGCAAATTTTAGTGCCACTTTCCATACTGCTCCCCATATATAAGTAAAGCAAAAATCAAAAAAAGAAAAAGAAAAACAAACAAATATATAGCCACATTCAACAAAAATACAGGAGTAAAATCTCTTCTGTTTTGATTTTTTAAAAATAGTGTTTCATTATATTTGTGTCAAGTGTTTTAATTTATTTTGCAATTTTGCTCAGCAGTGGAGTCTATGCCTAAAAATAGCAAAGCTGACTGTGGAGCCTTCCAATTTTATATGCTCTGATTTAAAAAAAAATTGCTTTGGAGAACTACACCAGTGAAGGGCCAGCAGAATGATGAGTCGTCTAACTCATTCAGTGTTTCTCAAGGAAGAGTTTCCCAAGGCATGGAAAGTGAGGAGTGGCTTTGGAAGGACAGCTGTGAACATGGCAGGGTGTACCTTATAGAACAACTTTTAATAAAAACAATAATTAGAAATGCCACCCTCTAGGCTGTTTTCCATAAATCCATGTCCTGGCTACAGATGTGAAGTAAAATAACATAAAAGCCACGTAAGTTAAACTGGGAGGTGCTCTGAGCATGTGGTGTTCTTTGTCTAACAACTGGGTCATGGACACTGTTCCCTGAAAAAGTAATAACACAATGGCATTCATTCTCATGGATCTCTGACTCAGTTTTTACAGTGGGATGAAAATCTCTTTGTAGCTATTTTGCAAGAATTTGTGTTAAGGTTGGTTAACCAACTTACAGAACCTTCATAAAGTTGGATGTTGCAAAGGACCAACACACCAAAGTTGTTGACTCATTCAACTGTATGAACTCTAAAAAAAAGTTGTAAACCAATCACAGGAAGTGTCTGCAGAAAACTTTATGGCAGAAATATGGAGGAAGGCTGAGAACATAGTCAGGAATGCTTTCCTAACCGTAACTGAAGTGCTTACTAAGACAGAACTTCCCTTGCCAACAGGCAACTTCAGAATGGTTATTCCATAAATTCTTTTTAAATGTTAAGGACTTAATAAGGACATATGTAAAATGCTTACTATATTTTTAAGGTAATTAAGAATCTGAATGTAACAGAAAATAGGACTTTTTCACACCAGATGATCTTAACATTCCCACCTTTGGATCATTTAAGATTAGGAGATTTCATCATGCAAGCTTGGCCTGTTGTTAACTACTGAAACAGGTCACTTGAAAAAGTCAATTCTGAACATTAAGAAAAAAATATATATGTATATAAAATTTTGCCTCATGTCAAAGCACATAACCATCTATAAGAATTAATGAGGATTCATAGCATTTTGTCACATCATGAGTGGATACTCAGTAGATTTAAAAACACACTTTCAGCCCTGGCTGGTGTTGCTCAGTGGATTGAGCACGGGCCTGTGAAGCAAAGGATCACAGTTCGATTCCCAGTCAGGGCACATGCCTGGGTTGCAGGCCAGGTCCCAGTGAGGGACATGTGAGAGGCAACCACACATTGATGTTTCTCTCCCTCTCTTTCTCCTTCCCTTCCCCTCTCTCTGAAAATAAATAAAATATTTTTAAAAAATAAAAATAAAACCATACTTTCAATTAAAAAATGTGTATTTACTTCTGACATTCAAAAGTGTGATGCCTGTTTTAAATCTGTTAACACTACAAATCAAAGTAAATTTCTTTAAAGAATTTATAGCACCTCCCGTCCATTTCAATTGGAATAAAGCCACACTAACAAGAGACCCTAGATTAGATGTGCAGATCCAATCATAAAGTGGTTGGGACCTGGACATCTCCATTATTAGCCAGAACAACAGTAGTTTCTAGAGAAGAAATTAAAATTCAAAGGAATAAAGTGACTTTCTTGTTAAGCTCAGAGAGCAGGACTGGAGCCCAGTGCTCCTGGAATCAGCACACCTAGGGAATTACCCTACACCAATCCAGTCCCTTAGCAGTTCGAACTGTTCCCCTACGAGGAAATAGAGCACTACCTTAAAGTACCAGTTTTCTTCTTTCTCCACATGGGAAGAAACCAGCACACGATAATGATGATTTTCATACTAATACTCTTGATTACGAAGGTGCTTACTAAATAGACATTAAGGTTTATAATTAAGCCCATGTGAGAGATATCTATATATGCAACTCAAAACACCAGTATTATTAACTGTCTCAGAATGAATTGATGATTTGAAATATTAAAAATATACTTGTAAATTTTAGTACTTTCCATCATGCTACCCAGTCTAGTACTATTTTAAGTAGAATGTGATTGTGGGGGGAGGAGGGGGGAGAGGGAGGGGAGGAGGGAGAGGAGAGAGGACAAGGGAGAGAAAGATTGTTTGATGTGGAAAGTCGTCACTTCTTAAAATCTCTTAATTGTTTTGGTGCCTCAGGATTCTTGAAGAAGCAAAGAAAGTCAACATTAACTTTTTAAACTATTTTAAACCATTCATTTCCTTTTCAGGGAAAGCTGTATATCAATGAGCTTTCCCGTAGGCTGGGTGAGAAATTGGCTTCTGAATTTTCCCAACTTCTGAAACATCTTCCTGTGTCTGTGACCTGGTAGAAGTCTTTAACTCACTGTGGAGAGTCTGCATAGACTTCCCTGCACACTTCTGCACTTTGGGCCCTTTACCCAGCCCTGTGACAATCACCCAACCAGCAGTATTCAAGTAGCCTCTCATTGTTTCAAACCTGAAACCCTCAACGCTATTTTAACAATTCTTTTCTGCTGGGCTACCACAAGCCTTTGTACTGTAGGGCCAGCCGAGCTCAGTTATCTGCTAATGAACCTAATATGAGTTTTCAGGGAAAGAAAAATAAGAGATGTCATTATTGTGTAGATTACTATCATAATGAATTACAAATTAAGCTGTGCTTTTAAACACAAACCTATCATGTGTTGATAATAAGTCATTCCTTCTTAAATGCTCACTATATTAAACAAAAAGATGGTGCTATAGAATGTGTTTATTTGCATTTCCTGTGTATTACTTCAGACTAAAGGCTAACCCCATAATGGGGTTTGCTGAAACCCCACTTGTACTCAGTGGGAACTTACAGAATTTACAAAGTCATCCTTATGAAATCATAAACTAGAGTATGTAGAGGAGGATCTGGGTCTGCTGGCTGATCAGCATGGAAGAGCCAACCAGTGGACGTGGGGTGCAGGTACAGTTCTAGTGACATATGTTTAACACCAAAAGAACATCTGATACTCTGGGGCATCTGCTTTCCAGGTACCCCACTCCATGTTTTTTATGTCTTTCATCCTAGGGGAAAATTAACCTTCTTACTAAGGTCACTTTTAGTTCCCAATAAATGGTATGCTAAATCTTAGCGTCCCTGGTAAACAGTCTTACTTAAAATGTCTTTTGAACAACACCACCAGGTTTCCAAAAGTTTAAGGTTTCCATTTATTTTGCCTAATAACTATAAAGTATTTTTAAAGATTTCTCTATTATTTTGTATACTTTACTACTCCATCCACTTGTTTCATCCCTCAGAATGCTTTTATTTTCATTTTATAATAATTATTTTTTTAATTATATAATTTAACATTCTCCCTTTTTCTTTGTTACTTATTCTTGCTCAGCCACTCTCTCTGCATCAAACTGATTTAAAAATAGATTCTCAGTCTCTGTGACATTTCAGGTTTGCAGCAAAGAACAAGATAATTAGACGGCTATGACCACTTTTGTTTCAATTACTAATGTAGTAAAAAATAGTATGTTACTGAGCACCAAATCACTATTCAGTGAATTACCGATTCTGAGCTTAAAAAAGAGCAGTTAGTAGGTTGAGAAAGCAGAGTTTTAACCTCGTCACCAAGAGATGGGCAGGTGCAGCCCATGGACAGCAGTTCACTGTTTCCTAAGGAACTGAAGTGTACTGTAACAGATAAGAGGAGACTCTAACCCAGCAATGTGCAAAATTTTAAACCAAAGAAATGAAGAAAAAATTACATCTTTGCTTCAGTGATGCAAACAGGGGTCTCAGTCACTGAGACCACAGGGACAAAACCCTAGCCCTGGGCCACCTGTGGCTTTGTGCTAGCATGTGATTTGCACTTAGCATGCACTCCAGGGGGTGCATTATATAACTACACCGCCTCATAAGTGGACAGCAGTTCAGATATAACTCAAAGGATACATAGTATCTGTTCCTGAAGCAATGTATCAAATTACTGTTAGATTTTTTAAAAGTAATTGGTCGAGCAACACCAAGTTTTGTCATGTTCTTCAAATTTGACTGTGCCCATGTGTAATTGTGGTTTGCGTGTAATGTCCATTCTCCAAACATATGAGCTCCACCTCTCCAGTGCCTTCATGAGGAAAGGGTACACTATACCATCTTGTTACTGTCAAATCCCTAATGCATAGGCACAGTTTCGGGCATAGAGTAAATACTAAATGAATGAGTGAATGACAGATGGATGAATGAATGAAGAGAGAAGTCACAGTACAAGATTTACCCATTAAATTTCACCAATGGTTCTTAAAAATAGTCTTGTCAGTAGAGATGCTGTGCATGTATACATAACACACACGTTTATTTCAATACTATAAAAACTGTAGGAGATTATTTTCTCTTTAGGTATTCATACTCAATGAGTAGTATTAGTACAGGGTCCCACATTCAATTAAGGTTTCTTAAAAAAAATGAACAATTTTCAAAGATATACCAAATGTTTGCTACAATAATAATTTTAAGGAAACAAAAATTGATACAAACCTATTTACCTTATCCTAGTTTCTATAAAATAAATAGAATTATACTTACATATAATGTAATAATCTTTGTTCTTCTGAAATTCTAGACCCCAGAGGTTAGGGCTGAACTCTTGAAACTTGATAGTGAATTTTACATCTTGGTCTGGTCTGGCACAGTTGAGGAGAGGCGTGTTTTCCTTCTTAATAGTGCATCTGTCTGCTTGGTCTTTATCAACCATATAAACTTTATAATATTCATACTGGCCAACAGTTTTAGAGTCCACTTTGGGGCAAATAATATCCAATTTGTCTCCTATCTGTGGGTATAGTACCAGTCCTTGTCCAGGTAGAAATCTAAAAGCATTGAAAAACAAAACAAAACAAAACAAACACTGAGTTGATAAAGGTTGACAGTATTAATAATCTCAATACAGCCAGATGACATCAATCATCCCAAACTACAATTTGATACATTCACACTTTTATTTACCAGAGTATCTTAGTTCAGATCAGCATGGGATGAATGCTTTTGAAGGAATTAAACTTTAAAGAAAAGAAAGAAGAAAGAACCGCTCTCCTTACCCTATGCAGTAAGACCAGTCAACCTGCTGACATTTCTTCACTATCCCCTCACTTATAACAGTTCGGTGCTCCTTTGTGTAACTTCATAATAACTTTGCCTCCTGGTGAGTCAGACCTTCCCACCTGTTTGTTATTTTTTAACCATTGGCAGCTTTCGTTTATTGGGCATGCCACAGAAAGATGGCATCAGTGCCAGGGAACAGTGGGTGCACTAATACTTTGTTGTCTTGTTAGTTTCCATTGGCTGTTGATGTTAATTAACAGACAAGTTTCATCAAGAATGTTTCAAATTACTTATCATAATTAGTCAGTCACTGATCAAACAATGGTTTTTTTATTACACTGAACAAAAGAAGTGTCTTACAAACCCATAAAGGATATCTAGAAATAATTAGTTGTAGTATTGATTCAGCTGCAGGATGAAGAGTCCCTGACTGGCAAGGGCAGCAACTACTGTCCTTGCTCCACCAACCCTTCTCCCTTTCCCTTCAGATGCATTTGCTCCAATTAATTCTTAGAAGCAAATCTTTAGAACTATGACAACTGATACAATATCCCCTTAATGCTTACAGCTAACAGCTTTCCCCCTCCCCTTCCTCCTTGCTAGCCATGCTGCTGAAAGATCTTTCTTAATGGGGAGTTTCTCTGAGAAACTGAAACAAGAGCTTTCTAATGAACATCCTTCTACAAATGCTAACACTTAGAAATCCCAGCTCTTTCCTCTGTAAGCAGCCAAGCCTTCAAGCTCATTAAAATATTAAAGCCTGAGAACAAAGCATCATGCCTGAATCCTTCCAATCCGACCCTTTATTGAATCGGGAAGCCCACCAGCCATGACAATTAATGGATTGTAATTCGCCAAGAGAAAGCCGGGACGATGAGGCACTCCCCATTTTTAAATACGCACCTTGGAAACAGGTTATGATTTATGCTAATGAATGGTATTAATTTTCTGAAAATGGCATGAGGTTGGTTATGAGGCATCACAGAACATAACAGAAATTACATTACAGAATACTCTTCACAGCATGAAAAATGCATGTTGCAGACAGCGGTCTGTCAACTTCCTTGGGACACTGTTTTATAATCCCAAAGAGAGAGCAGTATCCCTCCCTTCTTTTTACTGAGCTTTTTAAGCCAGGACATATGACATTTATTCATTAACAAAAAGAAAAAGAAAGAATGAAAGGAAGGACTGGAGGGAGAGAGGGGACAAGGGAGGAAGGATGAAGAAAGGGAAAAAAAATCACCTAACAAAATTTCAAAATGACTTTTTTATAACAATGATGAATTACATACAAACGTGTGCATACTTGAATTTCTCTACAACTTTTAACAAATGAAGACCACCACTTAGAGTCGTAAGAATCTCTCTTTGACCTTCTTTACCATTTCTATAGTTTTCTGGGAAGAAAACTTTGAAAATTCAACTCCTGGAAGCAGCAGGACTCCCTGGGTATTTCCTCCGCCTCCTGAGTGTCAGGTGGTCTAAGTAATTCCATCTTCTTTGTGAATAAAACAAAAACTCTGGGTTCCGGTGGAGGTACTGGAGAACTGAATCAGGATGTCTGTGGATGAGGCTTTTTAGCCTTTACCCGGGCCCCCGACAGTGATTCTGATGTGTCTCTGTGGTTAAGCAGTGGGGGCAGGAAGCCCAGCAGTCAGCACATACAAATGACATACGGGGAGCATGACCTCACTCACCTGCCTGACACATCCTTTTTTTCCAGTTTTATTCCCTAACCTTCTTAAGAAAGTCTTCAGTGCATCCAAGAACCAGAAGCCAGTTCCTGCTTGGGTTCTCACTCCAATCCAAATATTTTCTACCCTAAATCTCCTCTTTCAGTAGCTGGCACAGAGCGATCTCCACATGTAAGTTGATGTTAGAAGTATTCCTAAATCACAACCAAGGTCTGCAGCCTGGATGCCTGCTTCCTCTCAGTTCTGATCTCTACACTCATTAACTTTTACATGGACCACAGGGGGCTTGCCCATGCCTTAGACAACAGGATACTTAGCAGCCAGAGGGACACATTTTCTTGTCCCTCCAGTAAGCTATTTTTTTAAATGCATCAGATCTACCCCACCCCCACCCTACCACACTCACAAACTGTATATCATCTCTGCATATCTTAGAACTCTCCGACATCATACCCTATGTCTAAGCTCTTTGTCCATTCAAATTGCTCCCAAGATCCTGTTCTTTCATGAGATAAATTTTATTCCTGTTTAACCAAAGACTCATCAGGTTTCCTCCCACCCATGCAAGTAACTCCTCATGACTCTCTCTTCACTCACTGACTCTGAGTTACAGCTTTTACCAGTGCTGATGGGTGGGGTCAAGAATTTATAATAACATGGGCTGGTATGCTACACAAATCCCCACATTCTCGACCACATTTTCAAAAGGCACAAATGACATGAGAAGTGGTAACAGTAGTGATGGGGGAGTGATATATGGGGAGGGTAACCCATGGGATGGCTTGTCAGAATGGAAGGGAATGGGAGCACCCTCAAATTTCAGTGAGGTTATTTAATATTGCTCATGGAAAGTAAGTCTCAATAAAACTTACTATTTCCAATGCTTTGAAAAGAGTCAGTTCACATTTCAGAAAATACTGTGGCAAAAAGTAAGGCAAGAATTTTATCCTTTTCCCTGATACAGTTAATTGCTTCAAGAGTTCCTTTTAAAACATTACTGCTTCTGCCCTGGCTGGTGTGGCTCAGTGCATTGAGTGCCAGCCTGTGAACTGAAAGGTTGCAGGTTTGATTCCCATTCAGGGCACATGTCTGGATTGTGGGCCAGGTCTCCAGGGGGGTTAGTATAAGAGGCAACCAATCCATGTAACTCTCATACATCAGTATTTCTCACCCTCTCTTCCCCTCTCTCTAAAAATTAAAAAAAATCTTAAAAAAAAGAGAGAAACTGAAAAAGCAATTCCATTTACTATGTAAAAAATTATTGCTTCTTTATTTAAATCCATACAAAAAGACCCAATACTTGACTGCTTTACAGGCTTACTTTTTAAGCATGTGTGTGTGTGTGTGTATATATATTGCATATATATATATATATATATATACTGGTTAGCATACCAGAGACTTTAATTGATAAAATTATAGTTTCTCAGCAGACAAAGGGTGTGGCTGAGCATTGAGCCTGAATGAATCACAGGTTTCTTGCACACGTCATCACTATGTGCAATGGAGCCCCTGAATCTACTACCTTCTTCCCTCCCAGGAACCTCACAGTTTCTAAGGCAACATGGGAACAAACAAGAGTAATGTGAGTGTAACAACTAAAGCAACTTATTTCACGCCAGAGCCTGAAAATATCTCGATTTTCAGAGATTTACAGTCTAGCTCCCTAAGGACAAGCAGGTCCTCATGTGTGTCTGAGTCAACACTGAATGCCCAAGGGACCGACATAGGGTCAATGCTCAATAAGTGATGTATTAGTTGAAAAAATGTGAAAGACCAAATGGAAACCAAAATATACACAAATAAAATTAAGTCAAATTAGGTGCCACAAACTATTTGCAATTATAGGCATGGAAGGAAGTCTCAAGACAGGACCACCTAGAATTGGGACGGGGCTGTGCCGTCAGTCGAGATGAGATTTCCAGAAGGCACCGTCCCAGGCATGACGGTGTTTCTGGAGGACAAGGAGCCGTGCGGATAGAATTTCAGACCTGTTTTCTCAGAAAGGATTTATGAGTATCAGAGGTCTTCTACAATCCCTTTGTATTAAAAATACAAGGCAATTAACCACCTCCAGAACCACTAATAAGAAAAACACGGCTGCTCTTGAGCACTTACTCTTTGCTACACACTCATCAAAGCACCTTACGTCTCGTTATCTTCATTTAATCATTGTACACATACCTAACACACAAAACAGATGAGGACACATGTGTGCCAAACATGAGGCACAATAGGAAAAGCCCCCTTTTCAGTTCTCACTGCATTACATTAAAGCATAACTATGGTTTGTGAAATGCATTTTTCCTAAGCTGAACTTTTTATAGCTAAACCATAAAGATATGGAAAATCAAGAAAAAATCAATATGCACAAGCTTGCAAGCATCACATAGAGTCTAGCTCTAGGCCAGTCACCTAGGTTGTGCCCAAAGCTGAGGCTGTTTCTGAGGTAAGAGAACCTGACACCATGGCTCACAAAGGCAGCACTCTGGTATCCCTGCCTTTCTTCCAAGGAGGCCAACCAGAAGGCGAACCCCAGGAGGCCACGAACCAAAAGGAACTCCCCAACGATGTGGAATTTGTGTTTGAAATGTAATATTACAGATGGACTCTAGAAAATTATGGAAGTCACTGAATGTAACTTAAAAAAATGGGGTGAATTTCCTAATAATACCAATTTTGAATGGAAAACGTTATCCCATAATGTCAAAACCAAGTCAGTAAACACAGAGCTCTATTTCTGAAGCTAGGGCATTATATTTAGATTTTGTTACCCGAAGACTGCTTAGAGATTTAATACTTCTGCCAATATAGTACATCTATGCCCCAAATATTTTGTAATATGCAATGACATACTTATCCTATGTTGACCTAGAGAGTGTCAAAAACGAAGAGTAACTATGGTGATGACAACTGACTAATTTTAAATTACTAAACTGACTATCCATGGTGGATATAAACACAGATTTCTTGCTTTGTGATGCAAAAATGTCCGTCTTGTAGCCCAAAGAGGTATAGAGGGAAAGCCCCATAGTTGCAACTCATACCACACAGGTGAGGTTGCTTTTACT